AAGCACATTTAACCAATCAGCACATGAAGTGTGTAATCCTGCGCCTAGGCTTGCAGTGTACTGTCCAAGTACCAAAACGCCTCCTTCTTCCTAGCACATCTTCAGTGGGTTTTAAATATGGAAACTAGCATAAAATGCAGGGTATCTGCAGATTAGCTGTGGCTGTGCCACAGAAACCCCCTTTTTAACCCCATTTCATAAACATTGTGGGACTTAGAGGACCATCCAGGTTGTCTCCCGACCTCCTAACCCAAGTGCCTTTAGCGTGATGGAAACCTGGGTCACCACTTAGCGCACGGTTAGGAGATCCCCATATGTCCATGATTAATACTCACACCAATACTCATACCATAAAAAAAGAAAAAAAAAAGTCTTAAAAATACATAATGTTGACTAATAAAAGAAACAGGCTCTGACTAATGACTTTTCCAACTTTTTGCAAGAAAGGTTTGCAGGCTGCAGTCACATCGAAGGGGCAGAGCATCCTCCTGATGCCCGGGGCTTGCAGGCACCAGCGAGGACGAGGGGGTCTCYGGGGTGCTCCGAAGGCCTTTGGAGGGTGAAGGGTGAGAGGGAGACGGAGAACGCTGCCACGGGATTATGGAGAGTCGGGATGGCAGCGATGGAGCGATCGCTGGCGGCCACCCACAGAGAGAGGCTGTATCCATGACTCATCCCCGGCGCAGGAAGGAGCGGAGCGCACCACGCATCCGAATGGACAGCAGCTTTCCAAGGAGAAACGGCCGGGCCTCCAGCATCTCTCAAGGTCATTCATCCCAGCTGTTCGTTGTTTCTGGATGGGATGCAATATCCTCTGTAAAATTAGGAAGGTGTGTCTGCAAACGAGTGTTTTTTAATTTTTTTTTKGGGGRGTAGATCTTSTTAATGGAAGGATCTTCTAATTTTCTTGAATTTATCCAGGGCCATTTCATCTCCCCTCACTCTTCAGCTACCATCCTTCAATGTCACCAATCTTCCTCTGCGCTGGCATTTAGTTCCCATCCACACAAAACGTATTCCCCCTTTGTTTTCATTTTTATCCGCAATAGGAAGAAAAAACACATTTCTGGTCCACACCTGGCTCTTCCCTCCAGGTGTTCCAACCCAAACTCAGACCTCTTGGACACAGGGGACTGCAATGGCACCGAGAAATTCAGACAGTCTTGCCTGTATATTGTATAACACCATATATTGCTCGAGCATCTGGTTTTCGCATCTCGGAGCGTGCCAACGCTAAAATCCCTAAACTGCTGCCTTCTCCCACCCATATGTCTCATCTCACAAGTTTGGGTAGYTTTTCTATCAAAACAGATGAGTCTTCTGCCCCCTTATTGGCTCACAGGAGGGAATGCCCACCTACACTTGTATTTAAATAATAAGACCAAATAGTTTTGTTGCTTCTGTGCCCTTCTCTGCTTTCAAAGCAAATGGAGCAAATTTGCTACAAAGCTCGAAGAAATGAGGAATGCTTCCCTAGAGGTCTTCCCACAGTGAAAAACAAAAGTTTAAGCGTAAAATGGGTGTCTCACCCAACAGGATGGGTTCCCAAGTCCTTAATGGCAACACTATTTACTCCTTGGRTTTTTAAAGCACTGAGCGCAAGGATGCAAGACTTCCACTTGTTCACAAGATTAAATTAATGTTTTTTCGATGGAAAAAAAACCCACAATTTATCTGCATTTATGCATTTTTCCAGTTTTATTTTTTAATTCCCCCCTTTCATATTCAAGCTTCTGCAGCCACAGTTTCGGAGCCCTGAACCTGGCAAAGCAGCCCTGATTATTTTGCAAAAATACCATTTTTGCATTTGAGGTTGGGTGCAGGTTGGGGAGAGGGATGGAGCACCCTGAGGATGGGGTGGGGATGTTGGTGTCAGTGCAGCAGGGATGGGGGACATGGGAAGGATCCTGGGGGAAATGGGAAGGATCCTGGGGGTGCTAAGGCAGGGGGATAGGGATGGGTGAGCAGTGGGTGCACCGGGGCAATGGGAATGACTGGGTGCTGGGAAAATGGGTATTGGGATAATGGGAGTTACTGGGTGCTGGTGCAATGGGTACAACAGAAATTCTTGTGTGTTGATGCAATGGGTGCTAGTGCAATGGGAGCTGGTGCAATGGGTGCCAGTGCAGTGGGCGCCAGAGCATTGGGAATTCCAGAGTGCCAGTGCAATGGGAATTCCTGTGTGCTAGTGCAATGTACCAGTAGCACCAGCTACCGGTACAATGGGTGCTGGTGCAGTGGGAATTCTTGTGTGTGGATGCAACGGGTGTTGGAGCAATGGGAATTCTTCTGTGTGGATGCAATGGGTGCAAGAGTGCAATAGGAATTCCTGGCTGCTGGTGCAATGGAAACTATTGTGTGCCAGTGCAATGCATGCTAGGGCAGTGGGGACTCCAAGGTGTTGGTGCAATGGGTRCTGGTGCAATGGATATCAGTGCAGTGGGAATTATTGGGTGCTGGCGCAATGGTTGCCAGGGGAATGGGAACTACCAGATACCAGTGCAATGGGTGCCAGTGCAATGGGAACTACTGGGTGCCAATGCAATGGGTGCCAGTGCAATGGGAACTACTGGGTGCAATGCAATGGGTGCCAGTGCAGTGGGAATTACCATGTGCTGGTGCAATGGGTGCCGGTGCAGTGGGAATTAGTAAGTGCCAGTGCAATGGGAATTCCTAGGTGTTGGTGCAATGGAAACTACCATGTGCTGGTACAATGGGTGCTGGTGCAATAAGCACCAGTGGAGTGGGAGTTGGTGCAATGGGTGCCCGTGTAATGGGGACTCCTGAGTGCTGGTGCAGTGGGCACAGTTGCAATGGGAACTACCAGGTGCTGGTGCAGTGGGTGCCRGTGCAATTGAAACTACTGGGTGCTGGTGCAGTGGGTGCCAGTGCAACAGGTGCCGGTGCAGCGGGGACTACTAGGTGCCCGTGCAGTGGGTGCCAGTGCAGCATGAATTACTGTGTGCTGGTGCAGTGGGTGCCAGTGCAATGGGGACTGCTGGATGCTGGCACAGTGGGTGCCAGTGCAGTGGGTGCCAGTGCAACGAGAACTACTGGGTGCCAGTGCAATGGGTGCCGCTGCGATGGGAACTACTGGGTGCCGGTGCAGTGGGTGCCATTGTAAGGGGTATAGGTGCAGTGGGAAGTACTGGGTGCTGGTGCAATGGGTGCCAGGGCAGTGAGAATAGGTGCACTGGAAACTATTGGGTGCTGGTGCAGTGGGTGCTGGTGCAGTGGATGCCGGTGCAAAAGGAACTACTGGGTGCCGGTACAGTGGGTGCCAGTGCAGTGGTTGCCAGTGCAAGGGGAATTACTGGGTGCCGGTGCAGTGGGTACCAGTGCAGTGGGAAGTACCGGGTGCCGGTGCAGTGGGTGCCGGTGCAGTGGGAACTATTGGGTGCGGGTGCAGTGGGTGCCGGTGCAAGGGGAAGTACCAGATGCGGGTGCAGTGGGTGCCGGTGCAATTGGAACTACTGGGTGCCAGTGCAGTGGGTGCCGGTGCAAGGGGAATTACCGGGCGCGGGTGCAGTGGGTGCCGGTGCAGCGGGTATAGGTGCAGCAGGAAGTACCGGGTGCGGNGGAAGTACCGGGTGCGGGTGCAGTGGGTGCCGGTGCAGTGGGAAGTACCGGGTGCCGGTGCAGTGGGTGCCGGTGCAGTGAGAAGTACTGGGTGCCGGTGCAGTGGGTGCCGGTGCAGTGAATATAGGTGCAGTGGGTGCCGGTGCAGTGAATATAGGTGCAGTGGGAAGTACTGGGTGCCGGTGCAGTGGGTGCCGGTGCAGTGAATATTGGTGTGGCGGGTGCCGGTGCAGCGGGAACTACCGGGTGTCAATGTAGTGGGTGCCGGTGCAGTGGGAAGTACTGGGCGCCGGTGCAGTGGGTGCCGGTGCAGTGAATATAGGTGCAGTGGGAAGTACTGGGTGCTGGTGCAGTGGGTGCCGGTGCAGTGAATATAGGTGCAGTGGGTGCCGGTGCAGTGGGTGCCTGTGCAGTGAATATAGGTGCAGCAGGAAGTACCGGGTGCCGGTGCAGTGGG